AACTGTGGAAGTGATTATTAGTTTTTAACATCAAGTGATAGGGACAAGGTAAGGAGCACATGAATGTGCTTATATTGTATGGTATTTGGATTTACATTGAAAATCAGTGCCTAATAGAGCAACAAATGTTTGCGTGACATTCACATTTTAAAGATTATTTCTTCTTTAGGGTAATAGTTATCAAAAGAAGAAATCTTTTATTTATATATATTTTTAAAGATTTTATTTATTTATTTATTTATTTATTTATTTATTTATTTATTCGAGAAAGAGAGAGAGAGCATGTGCTTACAAGTGAGGGGAGGGGCAGAGGGAGAGGGAAAAGCAGACTCTCTTCTCTGAGCATAGAGCCCAGTGGACCTGGGGTTCCACTGACCCTGGGATCCTGAGATCATGACCTGATGCAAGTCAGACACTTAACTGACTGAGCCACACAGGCACCCCCACAATATCTTTTTAATATCTGATGACCAATTGGAAGGAATGTTATAATGTAGACCTTTTCTTCTCTCATGTATATTGGCTACAGTATAGATTAAAGTAGCACCAAGTGCTCTAACATATAATATCAAAAATTCAAAAGAATTTTTTTGTTTACTGGAGTCTAATGCTGGTGTGTTCTTACTGTAGATCTTTTCTTTGTTTGGGTGATTCACACATACATGCACGCACACACTCTGTAACATGGTAAGTACATTATTATGTATGAAAACCACTTCTATTTTGTGTCTATGTGCTGTCTAAGACCTAAACATCCTCTGCAAACAGCTTTGGGAAAGGTAAACAGAGCATGGAGAAGATATATATATACTTGAAATTACTGGCAACAAATGACAAGCATCACTTTTACTTGCATTTTATTCTCAGATCTCATGTGAGAATCAGTCATATCACCACACTTTCACACAAAGGCTGAGAAATGTAGCCTTTAGCTGAAGAGTGCCTTTTTGCACTCAACTCTATACTCTGGAGAGGGGAGAGGAGTGTTGATAGAAAGCTTCAGCCAGTGCACATGGGATGGAAAGACTCTTAAAGTCCAGTCTCTTAGAGAGTCAGCATTTAGTCCTCCCTACAGTAGTCCTCACAGCTGGCCGTCTAACCTGGTATGAAGTATAGCTAGTGTTTTGAAAGGAATCAGTTATTGAAAAATCTTCCTAATATATTGTCAAGACTTTACTATGCATCTGTACTGTGGTCTCCTTGGTTTTGGATGCACACTAAATTTTATATGTCTTTGAGATGTGGGCCTAGTACCATACATAGTACTCAGTTCTCAGTATTTGTTATGGTTAGGAGAGTTATAATTTCCACCCTGGTTTAGGGTATTATACTTCTGTTAATAGAATACGAGCTGCAGTTGTTTTCTTGGAGAACTATCAATCTGTGTTCATCTTGAGTTGACTCACTCACTTTTGAGTGAGTCAAAAGTCCTTTCATATAAATTATGCCCCATATATTGACCCTATGACTTTCATGTATTTAGCAAATGCTTTATTCTTCTTGTTAACATATTCACTCCTGGACTTCTGCCTCAACTGCTAAAGCTTCTCTGACATTTTTTAGCAGCTATGTTCTTACCTTTTGGAGAAGCCATAAATAAGCATGCTGTGAAAAGTGGCTGAGGCTACAGGTCACCAACTTTCTATATTTAATTTTTGCCGTAACTTCAATGGTTTGATATGGTTCTTCCAGTTTTCATAATGATGCTTCAAGAGTGGATTCTATCTGTAAACCTAGTTCAGTCTGAAAAACCAAATCCCGTACATTTTGTTTTTATGTTTGCTTTTGTTGTTTCATTTTTATAATGAACAAAAGTGAAACATTTTATTTTTCAGGATTTTATAGTTGGTTCGTGATTATTACTATATAAATACCTATGGCAAGGAAAGGAAGTAAAAATTGCCTAAAATATCAACATCTGGAAATAAGTACCTACAGTGCTTTGATGACCAATCTTTTGTAAATTCTCTCTGTGTAAATACGTATGCATAACATGCTCACACTGATGTAGTTAGGTCAATATTATAAGCATCGTCTTTTCGATGACTTTTTTTTATCGTTTTCATGTTTTTTTTTCTATCGTTGATCATGAGGCTACTTTAATTCTCTTTTGCTTCCTTTCCTGCTACAGTAAATATTCCTGTATAGATATTCTTTCCTTGTAATGCATTTTTGTCAGTGGGCTTGAAGCTGCATTTGGAATTATTGTCTGGTTGCCAGTTTGTTTTCTCTCTTCTTTGTTTTGGAGATGATCTAGAAATGTGCAGATCAGAGCCTACATTCCTTTTTCATGATAAGTTCATTTTTATGAAGAAGAGTTGGGGCACTAGCTTTTTGCTAGAATTGATACGTTATTCCTCTATATATTTATCCTATTTGGTGGAAAAGATGACTTTCTGTTGGAGAGCTCACTTCACACATGCAATTTATATATTAGAGTTTTGCAGAAATGTTTTTTTAAAGATTTTTTAAAAAATTTATTTGACAGAGAGAGACACAGCGAGAGAGGGAACACAAGCAGGGGGAGTGGGAGAGGGAGAAGCAGGCTTCCCTCTGAGCAGGGAACCAGATGTGGGGCTCCATCCCAGGACCCTGGGATCATGACCTGAGCCTAAGGCAGTTGCTTAATGACTGAGCCACCCAGGCGCCCCATGCAGAAATGTTTTTTAAGGGTTATGAAGCCTATTTCACACGACATGGCCTTGTCTAAGAAAAGGCTTTTCTTCAAAGTCTTATTTAAATTTAAATACCTGTGGTATTTTAAGAACTATCAAAATAAAATAACATCCCAGTCCAAAGAAAATGCTATTTGTTTGATAACTCTTAAACTTCTGATTCACAGTTTATTTTATAATTTTTCAGATTGCTATTTACTTAATTATTTAGTAGTTTTTATAGCACATCATTTTTATCTAAGAAAAATGTCCATATCCCTCTTCATTCTTACATATCTTGCTGCTGAGAATATAAGAGATGTGTTTTGGAAAGGACAGTGTTGCTGACACATCGGCCATATTTTTGCCTTTATGGCACCATCCATTTGTTTATATTGAATGCCTAACTCACTATAGGTGTGTACTCATAAAGACATTGGGACTATAATGGTGAGTAAAATAGACATACTGTTTCATCTTAGGGAAACTCACAGTTTAATGAGAAGACAACTATTAAAGAAATACATATGCAAATAAATGTAAAGTTACAACTGACATAAATGACAGAAGAGGTGTGGTGAGTGACATTGCCTAAGAGATTAATTGACTACTTTGATCAAGTGGCTGCTTCAAAGAAGGTGTGCCTGAGAGAGAGTTGAGCTGAGAGCTCTACGATAAGGGAAGAGATCATGTAGAAAAGGCTGAGATAGGAAGGATCATGTCACAACTGAGTAAGTTTAATAATGCCATTTAAGAGTTTTTGGTCTTTATTCTAACAGAAGTGTAGTGCCAGTACACAGTGGGGTGATGTGATCTAAATCACATTTAGAAAGCATCTGTGTAGTTGTAATTTGGAGGAAAAATGTAGAAGGCAAAAAGAAGTTTAAGTTCCTAGTTGGTAGGCTTTTGCAAGGATCCCATTTGCAAAAAATGGTAGTTTAGTTGAGGTGGTTATGGTAGTAGAGATGAAGAGAGGTAGATGCATTCTACATATATTTGGTGGGAAGAATTGAAAAGGTTTGATGACTGATGTATGAAGTATTTGCAAATACAGGAGAGGAAAGAATCTACAATGATGCCTAAGTTTTTGGGTAACCAGACATGATGGAATTTGGTGCCATTTGGTGAGAGGTGCAAAATGGAGAGGACCAGTTTTTGAGAGAAAGGTCATAGGTTTGGTTTGGAGCAAATGAAGAGATCAGTTGTCCAGGTAGATGTGACATTATGGAATTATACAGTACTTCAGTTTAAGATAGTAGGTAGTTTTTTTGAATATTATTTTAAAGTTTATTATTTTTTTAAAACTAGAATTTTAGAAAGTTTGTTGCTCTTTATTATTATTTAACATATTACCAAAAAGAAATAACTTAAAGATTTAAAAATACACTTGATATTTTATGGGACTCCTCTAATACTTCATAACTATAAAGAGCAACTAGGCTTTGTTCTGTCTTGTATTTTTTTTATTTGCAATTTTGGGGCAGCATAATATAACTATTCTCATTGTTTCATGAGTAGATTATATTGCTGTGAATGATCTCTCATTTGAATCAGCTGTACGCAAAATAATGTAGACAATGGTAAGGTATAAAAAGTTAAAAATTATAACTAGTGGGGGCACCTGGCTGGCTTAGTCAGGAGAGCATGTGACTTGATCTTGGGGTAGTAGGTTCAACCTTATGCTGGGGGTGGAGTGTACTTAAAAATTATAACTAGTGGCTACATTAGAAGTGTATGGTGTTTTTTTGCAGAGTAGAAATAATTTTAACATCAGGGATGATATGATTTTTAAGAGATATTTAAGGACAGTCACTCTGTCCTGCATAATGTTTTATGCTAACCTTGGTATGAATTTTCTTGGTAGTATAATGTTTTATACAAACCTGAATCTGAAATATTAAAGTGCTCTATGAGTTACTCACTTTATTCTGATTATTTATACTCTTGACTTTGTATTGCCAAAATGTCCGCAGTGTTAAAAGTAATGAAATCTTTGAGTTTATGGAAGACCCTTAAGTGACTTTTCAATGGAGAATTGACATGGTTTGAAGTTTTTCTATCTTGCCATAATCACTCTTTAGATAAGGGCCCATTATCTTTTCTTTCCTTATTAACATGAGAATGAAAACAAAATTAGAAAAGGTTTAGAAATAAACCATTTTCTATTCCTGGAATAGAAGTGGATATTATCAAAAAGAAAACTGAAACAATATAAAGCTTTTCTAATTTCAATTTTGATATTTTATTGCCTTTTAATGCAGCATTATTTAAATATTTCCAACTTCAGTTGAAATTTTAAAATGAATGCATTTTTCATGTTTTTAAAAACTGATTTTTTTTTTATAGGTCTCATATCTTTTGGGTGAACAGAAGTCTACCGTTATGGGGCTTACAGGTTATGTACAATTTTGTTTTATCCCTCTATTTCTGGATTTATTCTTATTTCAGAGAGGAATACTATTGGAGAGAAAACTGTTGATATTAAAAATGAGTTTGTTTTATTGCTTATTAATCTTGATGCATGTCTTAGACAACTGTTTTTTCCCCCTATCTTCATGTTTGCCTGAGCCCTGCATTCTACCTTTTGAGAATTTCCTTCTGATCCGGATTAGACTTCAGAAAGCTTTTGAGGGTGTGGAGAAAAACAGAGTAAACCAGTGTGTTAAGGCACCACAAGTTCCCCAAATGACTCTAGGTATTCATCTTATGTAATCCTTGAAAAATTAATCAAAAGCCCATGACCATGTTTGCTCTTTTACTATATCTGCAGTGTCTGAAACATGGTAGAATCTCAATAAATAATTATTAAATACATAAACAAGTGAATGAATGGCTCATATTACCAATAGCAAGAGCTTGGTCCCTAAACAGATAATTTTGTAAATAAAACAAAAAGTATGTTCTGGCATAAAAGGACTCCTGAGGAAAGAGTAAGAAAATATGAGAGGGAACATGTCTGAATTATATTGTTGGGGTGTTCCCTAGAGTCCTCTATACCTCTTCTTTGCTCCTTTTTCTGTTGAGTTTTATGCCCAGCAAACTTTTTACATGTTCCCATCTCTACTCCTGTCTCTCTCTTACAGATACTTTTTTTTGTTATTTTTCAAAAGTAAAAGTTATTCAAAGAATATAGTCACTAAGATAAAAAGGTCAAAAGTTACAGATTGGAAGACAGTTGAATCATGGAAGTAATGGAAAGACTCTAAAACTGACTGTTTATAAACAGCCTTTAAAATACTTTAAAATCAAGTGTTTGGTTTGTTTTTTAAAGTCATGAGGATTGTGAAGTCTGTACATTTTAAATGTTATAATGGATTATTTTAATTATGTATGCATTGTAATCATAACAATGAAATCAAGTTTTTACTATATCTGGATATTTCATACTTTTTTGAAGTCAAGTTGCATTTAATTTTTTTATACTGATTTGCATTGCAATGTCGTTAATTACAAATACCCTTTCAAATATTTAAGTGTTCACAAAAAATGAAGTCTTTTAATCTCTAGCTTGATTCCTATATTATTCTTCAGTGAGATACACATTTAAAGTAAGTTAATATTTTTAAGAATAGTCATATATCGCCTTGAAATACATTTTGACCTATTCAAATTGGTTTTATCTGATAATGATATTTTACAATAATAGTAATGTTCATTTTCAAATAGGATTTTGAGTAATCCATGCTACAAATGTTCTAAAGACCCTCTAACACTACTTATAGAAAAAAAGCATGAATGATTATGATTTAAATGACTTGTGGAGAACATCTAAGAGGTGTGCATTTTATATCAGAACAATGCCTGGCTTCCATATGTACTTCTGAACATATTTTACTTATATTGCCATGCATTCATAAGCTTCTTTACTGTCCTTCTGTTTTAATATTCACTTGAATCAAAGTTTTCATTCCAACAGGAGTTAAAATTTAAAATTCCAGGGTATCTGCCTTTCTTATGCAGATTGTCTTAAGTCTCAAAATCTGTAAACAAATATATTTGTTATCTATAGGGTCATTTCTTGTTTATGCTTGCTTATTTTGCTTCTACTCATCTACCCCAAAGTGCTGAGAGTACTTAATACAAAATGATTTGGATATTTTTTTCTAGTTACATTTTCTGTTGCAATCATAGCTTTTTGGTAGTTCCGCAGCAGAAATTGTATATATAATAGCAAATGTAGAGAAAGTGGAAGCTTGTCTAGGACATGCTCTTCCAGCTGTGAAAGAGGAATTGTTTATGAAGTCCATTCAAATAAAATCTGAAAATATCTGGAAGTGTTGACCTGGACTATTTTGTTTAGTGTTAAGGATGTTGCTGTTTCATTTTGTTTGAGGTGGGTGAGAGAAAGAATGTGTCTCTCAACTCGAAGCTTACATTCTTTTATTTTCTGAAAGCAACTGCTGTCTTTGGTAGATGTTCTAGAGGTGGTGGAGGTGTTGCTGGGAGAGGGTAGTATCTGTGGTGGGGCAGCTATGTGTAATTGTGCATATTAGAAACATACACAAAAGAACTTATTCTCTACATATCATGTAAACTCCAGCCAGTCTGACTATTCTAATCCCACATTTATATTTGAGATAATAAAAAATATTTATTAAGGAGTATTAGAAATATAAAACTAACCTGTAGAGCAACCTGCCACCTGTATAGAGAAGTTAGAGTGCCACATAATACCTCCTTATATGTATATCTGTATATTATACAAATATATACATATATACATACACATATGTACATAAAGTTAATAGTTTTATAATCATGAATATATTTTTAAAATTCTGTTGTGTTTTCTCATTAAGGTACAATTTTTTTTCAGGTTTCAGTGGCATTGATAAGTTTATTTGAAACAATACTACTTGGTTATCTCAGTTATAAGGTAAGTTATTTTAATTAGAAGTTTTCAGCTGATAGAACACATTACTAGCATTAACCCAGTATTCCTCTATTTATAATTTATACTCTGGGGTAAAGCAAGTCCTTCTTAAACTTCTTTAATTATTTTGGGCGTCTGTGGTATGTGATAAAAATCTGTAGTTGTATAGTAATGTTTTCCTTGGTGGCTTAAAAATATTTCACTAATTCCTATGGGTTAACTTACCTATGATATACATGCTTATGTGAGGCAAGCAAATGGAATGGTCTTGCTTTTAATTGTTCTTAACCCCTTTTCCTGATCTGTACAAAAAACATTGAGGGAGCAAAAACATGTCTGTTAGGAATTATTTTAATGTTATTTAATCTTTGGTGAGGCTTTGTCTGGCTAACACAATTTAACAAATATTTATTGAGTCTGTATTTGATGAAGAGCCCCATACTGTGCATTGTTCTTTTCTCAATGAGTTTCTATCTAGAAAGGGGGATAAGCAGGAGAAAATTATGCAGATAATAATAATACAAAACAGAACAGTAGGTACTTCCAGTGAGGTGCAAATCAAGTCCCATGGAGGTAGAGAGATGTCATATCATAGGATGAAAATACTTGACTGATCTAAGCAGAGCAGAGTCCTTGAATCAGTGATTTCAATAAGGAAAGATGAAAAGATAAGACACTAGGGATATATAGAATTAGCAAAGGCATAAAAGAAGTAATGTGCATATAAAATTGGAAGAATGATAAATATTTAAGTTTGGGCAGAATTTTGGGGGGCATTTGGAAAAATGTTGGTTGGGAAAATTTGGCACAGTATTGTGAGGGCCTTGTATAGCAACATATAATGGGAATTTGATGGAGGATGTTGAACATGAGAGTTCTATAATTGTAATTAAGTTTTAGTATTAGTTCAGAACATCTGTGCAGCACAGGTCAGAGAGACATCATACTGAGAGCCATGTGCTAAGACACAATTACAGAAAGGAAAACTGGGAGTGAGTTTTTGGCTGGGTGAATGGAATAGGCAGAGTTGACACAAGATGAAATATAAAGGTAGAAACTAAAGAAATCATCACCTGATTTGTTGAGAAAGTTGAGGAAAAGGCAAAGGCAAATATCACTTTAACATTTTCTAAATTCACATGACTGGGAACATGGCAGTTAAACTAAGAAAAATTATATCAAGAAAAAAATCAGATTGGGGTCAGGATAGATAGAATAATGGAAATGGCTTTGAAAATAATGAATTTGAGGTGCTTATGGATAGATAGGTAGACATGACATGTGGACAACTAAAAATGAGAATCTGGAACATGCAGGGAAGAGAGATTTAAGATGTGGAGGTCATTTTCACAGAGATGGTGGAGGAAACATGCAAGTCTATTAAGTATGGGATAATAACCAAGGGAGAAGCTAAGGCTCATTTGATGGAGATGCTTATACTGTGGTTGTTGGAAGAAGGACAGAATAATCAGAGAAGACAGAGACATAGAAAAGAAGGGTAGAAAGACTTTGGAATGGCTATCATATCCATCACTAACCTTCAGTTTACATTGTCGACATATACTATATCAACAAGTGTACTCAAGGTTATGTGTTTGGGGAACTCTTATTTAGCATATCAGCTTCTTTCTCACTTTTTAAGACATAGGGTTTGTTTTTTTTTAAGTTTTTATTTATTTATTTGACAGAGAGAGACACAGAGAGAGGGAACACAAGCAGGGGGAGTGGGAGAGGGAGAAGCAGACTTCCTGCTGAACAGAGAGCCCGATGTGGGGCTCGATCCCAGGACTCTGGGACCATGACCTGAGCTGAAGGCAGACACTTAACGACTGAGCCACCCAAGCGCCCTAAGACATAGGGTTTTGAAGATAACATTTCTTAGACTACTTTTAATCCTAAATTTAGAGCAAGAAATCTTTACAAACTCACCTTTCCGCTGGCTTTATTTTTTAAAAAATTCTCCTTAACTCCATCCAAAGAAAATAATGCTAATATCTAATGAGGTGAGATTGATGAATTAGAAAGTGTAGAAAGAAAAGAATGTGGGCTTTCCAAAAAATATAGATGGGTTGATTTAATATTTGTGAGAAAAAAAATAGGATGTTAGGAATTGTAAGGAAGAAATGTGGTATCTGAAAGGCTGAAAGGGTTGGAACTACAAGTTTATTAAGGAGCTTGAAAAGAGGCTATTGAATTTACAGTTTAGGAAATCATTTGCTATTCACTTGTAAGAAACCAACTTCAATGGCGTACAATTGGGAGTAAAAGTGTTAAATGAAGAATGTTGATTGACTGGGGTAGGGTCACTACCCTAGAAGTGTTCAAATGAGGCAGAGAAGATTGCCCAATGATGGAAAAAAATTTGCATCCTTTAGAGAAAGTAGGTAGAGGGGACTAAAAAAAATGATAGATGAAGCAAGTTTTATACAGAATAAGAATAAGTTGGAATAGAAATCTGAGGTCTACTGATTTGCTTTGGATACATTCCATTCTTTTCTGAGAGCACAGAAATAGTGCATGAAAGAATATTTTGAAGCTAGAGAAGAGAAGTTGAAAGTCCTTACATGTAGGTGGTCACTCATCCTTAAATTACCTAGGAAGTACTCACTCAGTGTTGAACAGTATAGACTAAGATGTTGAGGAAGATCTTTTAATTGGTTTATGAGTTTATCTCTTCATTGAAATACGTGCTCTATAAATGTATATAGATTGACAAATCTAGATTTTGGATACCTAGAAGAACGAAATGATAATCAAGTGAATTAATATCCAAGATTTTATCTTCTAAGTTACTTAGTATTCAAGTAGGTGATGAAAGTTGAAAGTAATAAAAACAAAATGACATGCTAAAAAATTGGGCACGTGGGTGTTTTTGGTAAATAATTAAATCTCTTCCACTAGTACAAGAGTGTGTATAGATATTTAAGTGGTCAAAATGTTAATCTGCATTTTTTAGTGTATTTGCTTTAAATTCTAGCCAAAAAGTAATATGAAATTAACTTTGGTGCTTAGTGGAAGCTTAGCCCTAATTTAAAAATCATTTAAAAAACACAGATTCAAGACAATTTTCCATTGTAATCATATGATGTTGACATTTGTAATTAATTACTTCCTGCCATTTATAAAACGAGAGCAAAGCATTCTGAGACCTAGTAGCATTATAAGAGCTAGATGATATATAATATTTCCATTTTGACCTTCGTAAACATTAATGGCTTAGATGGAGGAGAGGTAGATGGTAGTTGAGTTTTGTGTGTTTCAAAGGAAACAAAGGATATAAAGGAATTATGTGACATTGGAAGGATAAGTTGCTGGTAATTACCTTCTTTTTCCTCTCATAAATTCAGTCAAACTCATGGACTCTTTTGACCCACTCCAATAGACTGCTGGGTAAAATATATGGAATGAATAAATTAAAAATTGATAACTATTTATGGCCTATAATTAAGGCAAATTTGGATAGCAGAAACTCAAATGAGGCTCCTCCTCTCAAATTAGATTTTTTTTTCAAATTAGATTTTTAAGAAAAATTATAGAGAGGTAAGCAGAAATGGATATTGCATTAGCAACTGTATATATTCCTAATATTGTTCTTTGATATGTTAAGTTCTGAACTATCAACATAATAGCAAATCAATATTTATATTTTACATATATGTACAGATAATGTGCATATTTGTATGTATTATATACATATATACAATATTTAAAAACAAATTTAATACAGTCTTCTGTAAGCACTTTATAATTCTTGAAATTAAACATTCTAAAATAAGTGTGATGACTTTATCCTTAACTAAACAGTTTAAACTATCATGGAGACTGCAGGTTTTGGAAAAACAAAGAGTGATGAATAAAAGCTAAATAAGCAAAAACTATAAAGTGCATGTTGAGGTTAGCAGATAATGATTTAAAAATCCCTGACATCAACTTATTTAGTCCTCTATCCTACAGAAGTGCAGGTCTGTACTTAAATCATCATTCCATTCATGTTTATAGCTACTTGGCAGAACAACCACGGGATTGCCCAGCAGTAAAGTTCTTATTCTTCTGTTACCATAAATACCCTCTATGTCTTTATCAACTGCTTTCAAAATAGAACTCTATTTATACACACACATTCATTAAATCAAAAGGAAACGAAAACAAACTCCAGCATAATTTCCAAAATTCTGCAAACAAAAATCCAACATACCTAGAAGGCTTCTGTTAAATCTACAGTTCTTTTTTCTATAATCACTTTATAAAAAGCAACAGTTTTGAAATTTTAACACCATGTTGGGCTCCTTTCTGGCAAAGAACAAAGGATTTGACTAGGACTCCTAGACACTCCTAGATACTGGTGATTCTTTTTTTTTCCTAAGATTTTATTTTAGAGAGAGAATGTGAGTGAGAGCAGGACTAGGGGCAAAGGGGGAGGGAGAGGGACAAGCAGACTCCCCACAGAGCCCCATGACCCTGAGGTCATGACCCAAGCCAGCGGAAATCAAGAGTCGGTAGCTTAATGGACTGAGCCACCTAGGTGTTCCAATACTGGTGATTCTGCTTATGAAGCCATGGAAATGGTGAATCTAATTATTGTTCAGTTTACATTTAGAGATACAAAATAAGACTGCCTTAGGGATACTACACTATTTTAAATTCACTAAAGAAAATAAGTTATCAGCCTTTTTAGTTACATATTTACATACAGGTATTTTTAATATTGAAGAAGAAAGTGTTTTTAAAAAGCCCCTGGGTACATCTTGGTCTAACAACAATATTACCATACGTCTTATAATTTTTTAAGTGCGTTTTGGAGGTACATACATAATTGTACAGTTATAAACTTCCATTTTTCTTTATGATAAAAATAAAAGCCTGATACATTTTAGAAAATTACCCATTTTCCTGCATTTTTGTTGATTAAGGAAAGTTACATCCATACCAAATGTTATAAAATGTTTGGATTAATTTATTTATACTTTATTGAATTCTATAAGAGAAACGTAGTTCTATACACTCAGAACAGATAAAGCTACCTAAAAAATTTCTTTTTTTTTTTAAAGATTTTATTTATTTGACAGAGAGAGTGAGAGAGCACAACCAGGGGGAGCAATAGAGGGAGAAACACTGAACAGGGAGCCCGGCATGGGGCTCCCTCCTAGGACCCTGCGATGAGCTCACCCTAGGTGAGCCAAAGGCAGACACCCAACCAACTGAGCCAACCCGCTGAGCCACCGGCAGACGCCCAACCAACTGAGCCAACCCACTGAGCCACCACCCCAGAAATTTCTTTTTCTTTAGGAAGTTACCTGTTGGGGTAACTTCCTAAAGTTAGGGGGTGCCTGCCTGATTCAGTCGATAGAATATGTGACTCTTAATCTCAGAGTCATGAATTCAAGCCCCACTTTGGGCATGGAGCTTAATGAAAAAAAAAATAAAATAAATAAATACCCTTTTAGAAAAAGCCATGCCTTTTATCTCCTTTGTAAAAATAAGATAAAATGAATTATTTAACATAACTTTGAAGGGCATTTTGGATTTTATTTTATGCTTCTCTATAATGCCTTCTATGGGTACATGCTGTTTTCTTCATGATAATTGTTTTTATCATGTAGATTTATATAATATAGGCTCATAGTTACTCCCTAACACTCAGTGGAACTTATGAATATTTTCTATGTTTATTTTTCATTAGCTAATTTTAGGGGAGATATTTATTAATGTATCTTTAAGTTCAGGAGACAACCTGAGATCTTAGAACCAAATGTAATGAATATAATAAGAAGACATTCATTTATTTTTAGCAATGAGTATATTGCCTCATTGTATAATTTTAGATCATGAAAATTAGCCCTCAGTGGGAAGTTTATTCATTTTTAGGGGATTGGCACATTAGGTGTACCTTTAGAAAAAAAAAAAATCCAGATGATATGCTAGGTGAATTGGAATGGGGAAAGAATGAAGGGAAGGAGACCAGTTAGGAGCCTCAACCAGGTCAAAGAGTGGGAATGAGGTCGAATGAGAAGGAGGGAAACTCAAGATCTATTTATGATTCAGAAGATCTTTTTTTTTTTTTAAAGATCTTATTTATTTGAGAGAGAGAGAGCACGTGCACAAGTTGGGGATGGGGGAGAGGAAGAGGGACAAGCAGACTCCCCACTGAACAGGGAGTCCAACACGGGGCTCTAACCCAGGAGCCAGGGATCATGACCTGAGCCTAAGGCAGATGCTTAACCTACTGAGCCACCCAGGCATCCCATGAATTAGGAGATCTTATTGACCAGTTATCCTTAGGTACCTGGGAGAAGGAAGATGTGAATAGTTTCTCCAGGATTTTTGGTTTGTGTTACTGGGGAACCAACCAGGCAAAAATCATAAATTATACTTTTTGACATAATCCACACAAGGTGACTTTGAGGCATTTGCATGAAGTAATGCATTAGATAGTGGAGATGAAACAGAATCTCAGAGATGCAATACTGATCTGGACTAGAGATACAGCATTGAAAGTCATTGGTTTATTATTGATAAGTCGAAGTTGAAACATAGATGAAATTACCTGAGATGTATATGTAGCCAAGTACTCCTAAAATGCTTTTCTGCAGAAACTTTCTACTTGAACTCTGTGGTTACAAGTGAAACAACTTATATGTAACTATATTCAGATAGGCTTAAAACAATAAAATTCTTTTAAGTGTTTCCATTTGGATTCAATAGAAAGAAATATAAATACTTAAGTTCAAAAACAAAATAATTATACCAAGAAGGGGGAAAGTATGTATAAAATATTTGGAAGTTCAATTTACTTATTTTTTTTTAAGATTTTATTTATTTATTGATGGAGGGAGAGAGAGAGAGAGCACAAGCAGGGGGAATGGCAGGCAGAAGGAGAGGGAGAAGCAGGTTCCCCGCTGAGCAGGGAGCCGGACACCTGGTGATCCCAGGACCCTGGGATCATGACCTGAGCCGAAGGCAGACGCTTAACCAACTGAGCCATCCAGGCGCCCCTAATTTACTCATTAACATACTTCTTGAGACCTAACAGGCATAAAAACAAGCAGTTCTATAAAACATTACAAACACTTGTCCAGGAGATTAGTGGTGAAGGCATGGGGAGTGGGGCATTCCAAGGAGCGGGAGAAGTGTGAGCCAAGTTATAAAAGTATGAAATAGCCTGTTCAGAGAACTGTATAAAATTCAGTATGGATGAATCTGTGGCTGAATTCAAGATGGAAACAGAAGTATAGTAGGTACAAACCAAACCAGTAACCAGAGTCCAAATTATGAGCCTTCATATATTCTGAAGAGTAGTTTGGATGTCATTATGTTGGCAATGGCATTTTAGAAAGAATCTTTTCGCTTTATTATAGAAGATAAATCAGAAATTAACCAAATTAAGACAGATACCAGTTATGAGACTCTTTTAATTGTTTGAGAAAAAAATCATGAAATAAAATTGATGTATTACAAATGTAAATGAAGAGTCATCAGAGATATACAACATTTTTGTTTATTATGAATTAAATTTGTCCAGCATCTCACAGCTAAGAAAACTAATATTAATCTTGCTGTGCATTAATAGAGATATCCTGCCATATCACCAGTAGTAACTGTTTCCAGACTGTTCCTTCTTTGGCTGGTCACATCAGTCTCTATCCCAGGAACAATCACTGACACCAAAGAGAGAGGTACAGTCAACAGTAAAAACACACCAAGGACACAATAAGCCAAATGTTAAGCCTTCCGGAAACTGAGTCATGTAAAAAAAAATTGGTGAATGCAATGGTAATATTAACTTGCGCACACACACACACACACACACACACACACAATCAGTTACAACTGCTTTATCGAACAAGCTTGACTCAGTGCAAGTAGGAAAGGCCTTTAGGCCCCCAACACTTTTTTTTTTTAAAGATTTTATTTCCCCAACACTTTTCCAAATGCACACATCCTCTTGATCTATGCTGATCCGATGATATGTTGTAAAGGTCCCAGAACTTTTGTAGTCTCTCCAATCACAAGGCAAATTTCAGTTTAGTATTTAGGAAACTATGCTCAATATATATAAACATTTAAAATTTTCATCCACTTTAATACTTCAGCTTATCCTCAGCTCAGACTTGCATGAGATGGGGAATCATTGTGAGGTTATCTGTTATTCCCACTTCCTGTCTTACTTGATGATGCTGATTCTGGTCCCTCCGGGGCTGAGGAGGAACAGGGAGTGAGGTGAAGTCAGCCTCTGGGATGAATGTGCCTGGTAGGCACAAGTGTAGTCTGGTGTTGGGCTGTTCTGCATGGCAGATACAAGTAGGGCTTTTGCGGTCTTCTGCAGGCTTTTGACTGAAGCTCCTTGGATGCCTCAGGGTCTCTGACTGGCCACTAGGGCTCTGACCCAAGCCCTGACACTCTGAGTTCCACCATTTGTTGAGGTCTTGTTTCCCCTTCAGGCACACAGCCATCCTGAGTGTAAACTCCTTTAAAATGGCCATAGATTTTATTCTTTAGAGTCTATGTCTTGTTCCCAGAAAACAAGTACCTTTGTCTTAGAATTGGCATCATTGTGGCTTGCTCTCATTTCAACCCTCTGTTCTTGTTGCACTGTTGTCTCTTCATGTTTAGATGTTTTGGGCGTGAGCCAAATACAGTCTCTACACGTGAGCCAATCTCCCTAATTGGTTCTCTTGATCCCTTCTCACTTAGCTTGAAGTGATGAGAGAAGCACCCAAGCGCCACTAACATCTCTGTATGGAGACCTTCTTGTTGCTTCCATTTTTTTCCTACCTGCTCCCCCTACCACTTTCTGTACAACCTGGAGATGGTGATAAATGAAATACAGTAAAACTTGTTACTTAATATTTGAGTACATGGACATTAGCCAGTCTAAAACCTTGCTTTGTGATTTGGTAGTATCTTATATTACTGTAATGTTTTAAGCCTTTGGGACCTCAAGGAAATGTTAAGAAAGGCTCTTAACTTTGAAGCCACTGTTATAAAATAATTGGAAAATACAGGGACCCAGATTTCAAATTACCTTTCTAATATGGAGATCTCTTCATAGAAGAATAAGCTGCTTTAGGGAGTTCTGAGATTTTTTTTCCCCCCCATTGGACACCATTTAAGAAAGTGTCAGTGATTAACCTGTTTATATTGGGACAGTGTCTTGGTTGTGTAGTATGCACTTGCACAGGGCTATACATTTAGAAGGGCCTGTGCTTATTTTAATATTCTATCATCTTCTGGAAATTGTTAATAATTTGTTAATAAGAAGCCCTGAATTTTCATTTTGCACTAGGACACAAAAATTATGTCACCAGTTTTGATGAATACATTGTACTATGTGGGTTGGGAGATTAGAATCTAGATGCTTGGAAAAGCCCTTCCTTTAAGTTTTAACATAAAAACAATGTTAATACTAATGAACATTAACAAGTGTATGTATTTATAAGCTATTTAATATCCTTTACAGTTTTTATGAATATAACTCATATATTAAAAAAATTAAGATTGAATCACTTTTTTACTGATTCTGTAGCTTCTTTAATATGTGTATCTTCACTCGTAACTTTGCTTCCATGAAATATTATATGATCAAAATGTGTTGTGTACAATATTCAAGACTTACTATAAATGTTTGCTTTACTTCTTAAACTTACCAAAAAATTGAGGGAGTACAATTACATTTAGAAAAATAATCTTTAAAAGTCATTGCTACATTTTTATATAATGATTTGGTATTCTGTTAATGTAAGCATCCTTGCTAGAGAAATTCTGAGTGCTGTCTTTTTCCCCCTTTAATGGGATTCAGTATAATTGACTTTCATTTTTATTTATTCTTTCTTGGAAGGGAAACATCTGGGAACAGATTTTACGAATACCCTTCATCTTGGAAATAATTAATGCGGTTCCCTTCATTATCTCAGTAAGTCCTAAAAGCATCTTTAAAATAACTAATTTTGTCATTAGACTTCAGTCTTTAAATCTAAATACTAATAAATACTATATTAGCTCCAATAAATGATTTTAGGCTTTGGTAAGGATCATGGTATTAAAAATAAAGAGTAAAATCAGTTGGATAACTAGATTATGGAATTAAATGAAAACTAATGAGATGTAGTGCAATAGCAAAATAAAATACTTTTTTAGACATATATGCTCTAGATGTGCCATGTGAATAGGTGTTGATATTATCTAGACAGAGTAGAAATTAATCACTCCATTTCTTGTGTATATTGTGGAATTAAAAAAAATAGAAACTAACAAAAAGCAGAATCAGATCTATAAATACAGAGAACTGATGGTTGCCAGAAAGAAGAGGGTGGGGCAGTTGGGCAAATTGGGTGAAAGGGAAGGGATACAGGCTTCCAGTTATGGAATGAATGTCATGGAAATAAAAGGCATAGCATAAGGAATACAATTAATGATATAGTAGTGATATCATAGGACAGGTGGTAGCTACCCTTGTGGATAACATAGCATAATGTATAAACTTGTGAAATCACTAAGTTGTACCCTGAAACTCATATAACATTGTATGTCACCTATGCTCAAACAAAAAAAAAAATAGAAACCAAGTATTGATAGAAGTTTCTCATACTGAGCATATATTTATTTCAAGCTTAAACACAATATTTACTAAGTCCAGTTCTCCCATTAATAAGAAAGTTGCCAACAGCCAGACAATTAGCAATTTGCTTTTTTATCAAGGTACTGTGGAATACCAATTTTAGGATTATCCTGCTCAGTTGCAGCCCCATAAATATGTAACAAGCACTTTCCCATCGCAAAATTAGGTTTTAATCTCTATCTCATAGATTTATAATAATGTCTGTTGGGGATATGCTTTCTAACACTTCATTTGAATTTTATTTGGAAAATTATGGAAATAAGCAAATATTATCTCAAGTGGTTGCTTACTTCTGACAATTATTTTAATTTGAATGATTTATCTACAGGAAAGACTGGAACTAGATTAAATGACAGGCTAACTACATATAATCCAATTGAATATGGTTCCCAGTGTCACTTAAAATTTTTGAATCTGAAGAGAGTAAGTGGTAATGTTGTGAAAAGGGAAAGCATTCTCTCCTTATTCCTACTTTCCCTCTTGAGTTGTAGGGAAGAAAGGGGTGCTATCTATTATAAATCATTACACTGAAAGATTTAATGATAGAATTACCATAGTCATAGGTGACATTAGTGGGAGCTCATTTTTTCCTTTCTGCTTCTACAATAATTTCCCAAAGAATTTTTTCCTAAGTAAGAATTAGAACAATGAATGAAAAGATTGTATCTTCTCCTTGCATTTCATTAATGAGTCTAAAGTATTTCTCACATGTATTAAAAATTGTATTGTCTTTATTAACTTTTTTTTTGTTTTACATTTTAATCTGCTGGATATGATTTTTGCTTTGAGGTAAAAGTTTAGTTTTGGTTTGTTTTTCAGATCTTTTGGCCTTCCTTAAGGAATCTATTTGTCCCTGTCTTTCTAAACTGTTGGCTTGCCAAACATGCCTTGGAAAATATGATTGTAAGTATGAAAGAATGAAGTGCAAATACAAAATATTTTCAACCTTCCATTATTTCTTACATACTTTCAGTGCTCATATTAAACACAGAGAGAAGATGATTTGAGGTCTTAGTCTTGTACTTCCTCATTTTTCTTTCTCCCATGAAATATAAACTCATACTATTGTGATTTATTTAAGTACAACTAAATTTGTGAATGATTCATTTTTAAAAGAAATAAATTTATTTTATTTTAAATTAATAAATTTCTTTTAAATTAATTTAGTATCCCAATAAATAGTTTCATTTAAATGTTTGTAAAAATGGAAGAGTTTTGGTAAAATACTGTCAGAGTGATGTGTTATATTAATATTGATGTTAATAGACCTTAAGTCTGCTTGTATCCTAATTCAGAATGAAAACTTTCTGCGCTATCTTAACTTGGCCCATATTGTCAAGTCACCACCTTTGTAAGAAGGCCCTATGACCTGGCAAACAAAAATAGTTCAGATTTTCTTTTTTTAAAATTAAATTAAATTTAATCTTACTATGTTATGTTAATCACCATACAATAAATCATAGTTTTTGATGTAGTGATCCATGATTCATTCTTTTCATATAACACCCAGTGCTCCATGCAGTACATGCCCTCCTTAATACCCACCACCAGGCTAACCCATCCCCCCCCCCAAAACCCTCATTTGTTTCTCAGAGTCCATAATCTCTCATGGTTCGTCTCCACCTCCGATTTCCACCCTCTTCATTTTTCCCTTCCTTCTCCTAATATCCTCCATGCTATTTCTTATGTTCCACAAATAAGTGAAACCATATGATAATTGACTTTCTCTGCTTGACGTATTTTCCTTAGCATAATCTACTCCAGTCCCATCTATGTTGATGTAAAAGCTGGGTATTCATCCTTTCTGATGGCTGAGTAATATTCCATTGTATATATGGACCACATCTTCTTTATCCATTCATCTGTTGAAGGGCATCTCAGCTCTTTCCACAGTTTGGCTATTGCAGACATTGCTGCTATGAACACTGAGATGCATATGGCCCTTCTTTTCACTACATCTCTGTCTTTGGGGTAAATACCCAGTAGTGCAATTGCTGGGTCATAGGGTAGGTCTATTTTTAATTTTTTGAGGCAACTCAACACTGTTTTCCAAAGTGGTTGTACCAACTTGCATTCCCACCAACAGTATAAGAGGGTTCCCCTTTCTCCACAACCTCTCCAACATTTGTTGTTTCTTGTCTTGTCAATTTTTGCCATTCTAACTGGTGTAAGGTGGTATCTCAATGTGGTTTTAATTTGAATTTCCCTGATGGCAAATGATGATGAACATTTTTTCATGTGTCTGCTAGTCATTTGTATGTCTTCTTTGGAGAAGTGTCTGTTCATGTCTTCTCCCCGTTTTTTGACTTGATTATTTGTTTTTTGGGTGTTGAGTTTCAGAAATTCTTTTTAGATTTTTGGATATTAGTTCTTTGTCTGTAGTGTCTGGATATTTGCAAATATCTTCTCCCATTCTGTGGGTTGCCTCTTTGTTTTGTTGACTGTTTCCTTTGCTGTGCAGAAACTTTTTATCTTGATGAAGTCCCAAAAGTTCATTTTCGCTTTTGTTTCCCTTGCCTTTGGAGAAGTGTCTTGAAAGAAGTTGCTGTGGCTGATGTCGAAGAGGTTACTGCCTATGATCTCCTCTAGGATTTTGATGGATTCCTGTCTCACATTGAGGTCTTTCATCCATTTTGAGTTTATCTTTGTGTATGGTGTAAAAGAATGGTCGAGTTTCATTCTGTATATAGCTGTCCAATTTTCCCAGCACCATTTATTGAAGAGACTGGCTTTTTTCCATTGCATATTTTTTCCTGCTTTGTCAGAAATTATTTGACCATGGAATTGATGGTTCATATCTGGGCTCTCTATTCTGTTTCATTGGTCTATATTTCTATTTTTGTGCCAGTACCATGCTGTCTTGGTGATCACTGCTTTGTAATATAGCTTGAAATCAGGCAACATGATGCCCCCAGCTATTTTTCTTTTTCAACATTTCCTCAGTGATTCGGGGTCTTTTCTGATTCCATACAAATTTTAGAATTGTTTGTTCCAGCACTTTGAAAACTGTCATTGGAATTTTGATGGGGATGGCGTTGAAGGTATAGATTGCTCTGGGTAGCATAGACATTTTAACAATTCTTATTCTTCCAATCCATGAGCATGGAATATTTTTCTATCTTTTTGTGTCTTCTTCAGTTTCTTTCATGAGTGTTCTGTAGTTCCTAGAGTATAGATCCTTTACCTCTTTGGTTAAGTTTATTCCAAGGTATCTTATGGTTTTTGGTGTTATTGTAAATGGAATCGATTCTCTAATTTCTCTTTCTACAATTACATTGTTAGTGTATAAGAAAGCAACAGATTTCTGTGCATTGATTTTGTATCCTGCCACAGTACTGAATTGCTGTATGAGTTCTAGTAATTTGGGGGTGGAGTCTTTTGAGTTTTCCACATAAAGTATCATGTCATCTGCGAAGAGAGAGAGTTTGACTTCTTCTTTGCCAATTTGAATACCTTTTATTTCTTTTTGTTGTCTGATTGCTGTTGCTAGGACTTCTAGTACTATGTTTAACAATAGTGGTGAGAGTGGGCATCCTCATCATGTTCCTGATCCTAAGGGAAAGACTCTCATCTTTTCCCAATTGAGGATAATATCACTGTGGGTTTTTCATAGATGGATTTTATGAACTTGAGGAATGTTCCCTCTATCCCTATACTCTGAAGAGTTTTAATCAGGGAAGGATGCTGTATTTTGTCAAATGCTTTTTCTGCATCAATTGAGAGGACCATATGGTTCTTTTCTCTCCTCTTTTTAATGTGTTCTATCACAGCGATTGATTTGTGAATGTTGAACCACCCTTGCATCCCAGGGTTAAATCCCACTTGGTCATGGTGGATGATCTTTTTAATGTACTGTTGGATCTTATTAGCTAGGATTTTGTGGAGAATTTTGCCATCCATATTCATCAGGGATATTGGTCTGAAATTCTCCTTTTTGACGGGGTCTTTGCCTGGTTTGGGGATCAAAGTAATGCTGGCCTCATAGAATAAGTCTGGAAGCTTTCCTTCTGTCTCTATTTTATGAAACACCTTCAGGAGAATAGGTATTATTTCTTCTTTGAATGTTTGGTAGAATTCCCCAGGGAGTCCATCAGGCCCTGGATTCTTGTTTTTTTTTGGGGGGGGATGTTTTTGATCACTGCTTCAATCTCGTTATTGGTTATTAGTCTATTCAGGTTGTCAATTTCTTCTTGTTTCAGTCTTGGTAGTTTATAGGTTTCTGGGAAGGCATCCATTTCTTCCAGGTTCCTTAATTTATTGGCATATAGTTGTTGATAATAATTTCTAATAATTGTTTCTATTTCCTTGGTGTTAGTCGTGATCTCTCCCATTTCATTCATGATTTTATTAATTTGGGTCCTTTCTCTTTTCTTTTGGATTATTATGGCCAGTGGTTTATCGATCTTATTGATTCTTTCAGAGAACCAGCTTCTAGTTTCATTGATCTGCTCTACTGTGTTTCTGGTTTCTAATTCATTGATCTCTGCTCTAATCTTAATTATTTCTCTTCTAATGCATGGCTTAGGTATCATTTGTTGCTTTTGCTCTAGTTCTTTAAGGTGCATAGTTAGTTAGTGAATTCGGGATTTTTCTATTTTTTTGAGTGAGGCTTGGATGGCTGTGTATTTCCTCCTTAGGACAGCCTTTGCACTATCCCATAGGTTTTGGACCAATGTGTTTTCATTTTCATTGGTTTCCATGAATTGTTTTAAGTTTTCTTTGATTTCTTGTTTGATTCAAACATTCTTGAGCAGAGTGGTCTTTAGCTTCCAAGTGTTTTAATTTCTTCCAAATTTTTTCTTGTGATTGAGTTCCAGTTTTAAAGCATTATGGTCTGAGAATATGCAAGGAATAATCTCAATCTTTTGGTATTGTTTGAGACCTGATTTGTGACCCTGTATGTGGTCTATTCTGGAGAAAGTTCTGTGTGCACTCAAGAATGAGTATTCTCTTGTTTTAGGGTGGAATGTTCTGTATATATCTATGAGGTCCATCTGGTCCAGTGTGTCTTTCAAAGCTCTTGTTTCTTTGTTGATTTTCTGCTTAGATGATCTGTCTGTTGCTGAGAGTGGAGTATTGAAGTCTCCTACAATTAATGTATTATTATCAGTATGACTCTTTATTTTGGTTAACAGTTGGCTTATGTAGATGGCTGCTCCCATGTTCGGGGCATAGCTACTTAGAATTTTTCGATCTTCTTGTTGGATAGAGCCTTTAAGAATGGTATAGTGTCCTTCTGTGTCTCTAAGTACACTCTTTAGCTTAAAATCTAATTTGTCTGATATGAGAATTGCCACTCCAGCTTTCTTTTGAGGTCCGTTAGCATGGAGGATGGGTCTCCATCCCTTCACTTTCAGTCTGGCTGTATCTTTAGGTTCAAAATGAGTCTCTTGTAGACAGCATATAGATGGGTCCTGTCTCTGCAACCCTGTGCCATTTTATGGGAATATTTAGGCCATTCATGTTGAGAGTGATTATTGAAAGATATGATTTTATTGTCATAATGTTGCCTGTGAAGTCCTTGTTTCTATAGATTATCTCTGTAAATTTCTATGTTCTATATCACTTGTGAGGTCTTTCTCTTTTTATAGAACCCCCTTAATATTTCTTGCAGGGCCAGCTTAGTGGTCACATATTCTTTCAGTTTCTGCCAGTCTTGGAAGCTCTGCATCTCTCCATCCATTCTAATGACAGCCTTGCCAGATAAAGTATTCTTGGCTGCATGTTCTTTTCATTTAGTATCCTGAATATGTCTTGCCAGCCCTTTCTGGCTTGCCAGGTCTCTGTGGATAGGTCTGATGTTCCTCCCTCTGTACGTAAGGAATCGCTTCCCCCTAATTGCCCTTAAGATGGTTTCCATTGTTCTAAGATTTGTGAGTTTTACTATTACATGCCAGGGCATTGGCCTGTTTTCCTTATCTTGGGAGGGGTCCTCTCTGCCTCTAAGACATGAATGTTTGTTTCATTCCCCAGATTAGAAAAGTTCTCAGCTACAATTTGCTCAAATATATCTTCTAGTCCTCTCTCTCTCTCCACCCTCTTAGATATCACACTAATTCTGACATTGTAACGTTTCATGGTTTACTTATTTCTCTGATTCTGTTCATGGATTTTGAGTTGTTTCTTCTTGGCCTCCTCTTTATCCTTCTTTCTATTAGTTGGTCTTCTAGATCACTAATTCGTTCTTCTGCTTATTTCTCTGATTCTTTTCATGGATTTTGAGTTGTTTCTTCTTGGCCTCCTCTTTATCCTTCTTTCTATCAGTTGGTCTTCTAGATCACTAATTCGTTCTTCTGCCTCGCTTATCCTAGCTGTTAGATTATCTAGATTAGATTGGATCTCACTGATAGCCTTTTTAAGTTCTGCCAGGTCAGCTTTCATTTCTGCCCTTAGAGACTCTATGTTGCCGTTAATCAATTTCTCCATTCTAGCTATTGTCTTCAAACTGCTACCCTGAATTCCATTTCCGACAACTTGGTTATATCTATATCCATTTGTAAATCCGTGGCAGAAGTCACAGTCTCTGAGTCTTTCCTATTTTGGGGCTTCCTCCTCTTAGTCATTCTGTTGAGGGGTGGTTGAGGGAATGTACCGAGTCCAAATTATTGACCACAACCCAAGCTTGATGCACCTGTTTTATAGGGACCTTAGGGTTGTTTGCCTCTTGTTCTCCCAGCCTGTCTTCTGGGGGAGGGGCCTGCCATGCTGTTACTCAGGCAACCCTGTTTGGGCAGAGTTGCCCTACCCCATGTGTCGGGCAGAATGGGCTCAGTGAAAACCGGTTTTTGGGCCTTTTGTTCTCTGGCGGCTTTTGCTGGCAGCTTTCTGCGTCTCTTCCGAGAGTCAGAGCATAAGAGATCATTTCCAATCCTCTGCCTCAGAACAGAGAGATCACAGTCTGTTCTTCAGTGAGCTCTCCAGGCCACACTATCTCTGTTTCTGTCTGTGCTGCTATAAAGTGCAGCATCCTGTGTTGTATGCCCCTCAGCAGGGCTCCCAGTCCTTGCCTCCAGGTTGGGGGATGTCTCTGTCCTTTTTGCTTCTAAAACCGCCAGCCACCCCCAGTTTGCATGTGGGGCCCCGATGCTCTGGGCTTCTGTCTGGGGGGCTGCCCTAAACTCCTTTCCCCACCGCTACGGGTCTGCGAGTCTGTGCCCTGTCCCCAGCATGGGAGGCTATTGCTTACCCGTGGTGTAGGATCCCCATGGCTCCCTCCCCCTCCTATTTATCTTCGGATATGTGCCTGCGGAATCACAGTTCCCTGCTTCATACCTCAAACCAACTGCCTGTGATATTCTGTTTGTGGAGATCCAGATATATCTTCTTACATCTCAGGCTGATTTCGTGGGTGTTCAGAGTGGTTTGGTAGATATGCAGCTCAATTCTGGGGACCAGTTGGAATATGGTCCGCTATTCCTCCACCATCTTTTCCTCTCCTCCCAGAATTTTTTTTTAAAAGATTTTATTTATTTATTTGAGATAGAGAGAGTGAGAGAGAGCACAAGCTGGGGGACCGAGGGAGATGGAGAAGCAGGATCCCCACTGAGTGGGGGCTTGATCCTAGGAATCTGGGATCATGACCTGAGCCAAAAGCAGACGCTTAGCTGACTGAGCCACCCAAGTGCCCCTCTTCCCAGATTTTCTAAATATCACCAAACCAGAGCTACCAATAGCTTTGGTTACTTGTCTTCAGAAGAGAACTAAAGTAGTTACCCTACAGACTTGCTATAAAAATTAAATGAAATTACATAGATGTATAACATATAGATTGTGTGTGTGTGTGTGTATAAAATATTGTATCTGGCATAAATGTAGTAAGGGCTCAATACTGTTAATTTTACTACATTGAAATTAAATTTGCTTGGAAGCAAACTTGTTTTCCTTTTAAATGTTTTTGAACAGAAATGGAACACAAAAATTTTAGCCAAAGGTATATTTGGATAGCATTTGAGTATTTACAACCAAATGAATGTTTCTAAACATTTATTTTAAATAACCACTGGAATCTCATGAAAATACATGTCCAAATGATAAGGGAGTATGACCTGTGGAATGATTTGATGAAATGTTGGGCTGTCTTCACTATCCCCCCCCAAATACTATTTCACTAAATATAGATTGCCTAAATTGCAAAAGAAAAAAAATACACCAGGAAAAAATAACCTTCTTTTCACTATTTTGTGTTATTAGTTGGTGGAAAAAAAATAACCTAACCAAGGGAGGAATCATTAGTCAATCACTGAGAGTGAAAGTAGTGCTTTGCAATATTAATTTAGGATTCATTTTCCATTGTGTTTCTATATTTTACTTCTCCTTTTACTGGTTGGAGAAATGTTTATTTATTTTTCTGCTCATTAACACCTCTGTCAAAGAGAAAGCAAGGGATGAGAGGTGAACTTCTAATCAACTTAGATTTTTGTTATCTTAACAGTTTGGTTAAATATATGGTAGAGGAAGAGAAAATAGTAGCTTGTTGAGATTTTATATTGGTGAAGTGATTTATTTCATGCAACACTGACTTCGAGACAGTTAAAAGTTTATTATAAAATATTTGAGATGAAGAGAAAACTATAAATTATGAAAACCTATGAATGTACCACAGACTAAATACTAGTCATAACTTATATTCTTGTAACATTTTCTCTGAAAAGAATGCACACATATCATATATGAAATTACACTGTATGTTCAATGTTATAATTTGAATTTTGTTTTTGTAGTGCTCAAATTTCATATGTCTTCTAATCATTTTTAATAGCTTCATCTAAAGCTATTATTTAGTTTTGATCACTTTGTTTAACCATTTTGTATTGCATATTTTAGAAGTAATGAACATTCATTATTTCATATAAGTATTGTAATTTTGTAATAAAGATGAACATAAATATTAATTTTTATCTCTGATGATTTTCATGTGGTCAGTTTTTAGAAGTTTTGTTATTGAGTATGTACTCATTAAATTAATTAATGAATGTGTGAAATAAGAAGGGCATGGTTCTGACCTGTGTTACCAAATCACCTTCAAGAAATTTTGTAACAAATTGCATGGGCAATATCAATCATTTGTGAGTACTCACTTTTTTGCATTTTAAACAATATTGAGTATTATTATTTTTTAACCTTTTTCAATTGGAAAGATAGAAATTATATCTTTAATTCACCTTTATCTTTATATTAATGAAATTAAACTTAAAAAATTTTGTTCATTGGCTGTTTAGTTTTTTCTGTTCATGATAGATTGCCTGGCATATTTCATGTCATTTTTCCTGATTCAGGGAATGAGATGTGATTGTAGCTTGACCTAGCTATTACTCTTAAAATTAGAATTTTCCATTATAGGTATTGCTTACTGTGGAGAGCTTTTTAGGAGTCAGTGCAACATCTCTATAGATGTTGATAAGGGGGAGTAAACTGAAATTTGGGGCTTTGGTGGTCCCCCATAATGTCATCTTTGTAATATGAATGCTAAGGTAAATATATTTAGACCTAGGCAAAAATGGAAATATGTTGCTATATCCATTTAAATTATATGCAGTGAGTGTGCACAAGATATTTGAAATATAATACACAGTAATAAATGTAGTGAAACTCATGGATATGTAGTATTTTCAAAATTAAAATATGCTTTTTGGTTTTATTTTAGAATGATCTGCACAGAGCCATTCAGCGTACACAATCCGCAATGTTTAATCAAGTTTTGATTTTAATATCTACATTACTATGCCTTATCTTCACCTGGTAAGATTGTATATATCATTATTTTTATTGTTTCATTTAATTATAGTTTCTAAATACACATCATTTTAGTTGAGTTGGCTAAAATAGAGAAATACTCACTATAAATGTAAGGGATCACCTATAGGAATAAAAGTAAAATCTCCTTCAGTCTTACAGAAAAAAAAAGAAGGTGCATCTATCATTTGGTATTCATAATTACTGCAACTTTGACATTTTCCCAAGTGTTGTGAATCACCAAATCACAAGAATTTGTACTGCATGCCACAGTTGTCAAACAAAAAATTTTCTTTCAAACTGCTGACATGGAGGTGCCCTTATATTTCTACAATCTTCAGAGCAGAAACACTGTTGAGAAAACTGTCATTGCCCATCACTGTCTCTGCCAATGCCTTCTCTCCATGATGTTTTACTGGGCAGTCAGGCAGAAAGCAAGGGCAGATCTCCTGGCAAAGCAACGCAGGACTTGGTACTTTGCTTTATTATAGAAAACAGTTATTTCTTCTTCCAAAAAGTCTCACTTTGATGGTTTTAAAGGAATCCATGGGAAATGTTGTGCTGCACATATGGATTCACGTAGATCCTTAAGAGGAGAAAAAATGTGAAAAATAAAGAAATGAGGTAGAATAATATATCTGTTTTGCAGGAGTCTTAGATATTATGGGTAATTGTGCTCTGTCCTGGATTTGACCTATCAAGAAAGAGAAAAAGTTAATTAGGAAGTACAAAATAAAAAGAATGCCCCATATACTAGTACAACTGAATTAGGTATAAATAGAGCTCTAGATAGATATATATAAACATAGGTTGAGATATGTAGGTTAGCAACTACTTTGTATCAGTAATTTGTAGTTAATATATCTATTAAGTGTATTGAAAATAGGTTTTATTACATACTTTATATCTTAAAAAATAAACGTATTTTAAGATATTAAATGTTTTTAAATATAAAATATTTCTCTAAAATTGACACAAAGCCATCTTATCATTTAAATCTTTTTTACTGCATACAAATTTTTTTATTGTTCACCTAGTAAACACCTAGCTGCCTAAATATAAAATATTAAAAGTAATGACTTCCCTTCTAAAGTCACTAAATATTCTTAATTTTAAGATAATGATATTATATGAATAGTTTAGGAGTTTTTTCATTTTATTAATAGAAAAATACTCCAAATTAAAATCTCTTGTATACCCATGTACTTGCTAATATTTCAAATGCTGGAAAATTACAAACAGTGAAATGAATGATTTTTAAAATATTATTAGAGTCTGTTAAAGTATATTTAGTAAAGAGGTAATTGAAATATTAATGCTGAGGGGCACCTGGATGTCTCAGTCAGTTAAGCATCTGCCTTTGACTCAGGTCATGACCTGGGGTCCTGGGATAGGGTCCCTGGTTGGGTTCCTCGCTCAGCAGGGAGTCTGCTTCTCCTTCTGCCCCTTTCCCTGCTCATGCTTTCTCTCTCAATGAAATAAAATCTTTTAAAAAAAGAAATATTAATGCTGAAATAAGGACAAGTTATTTTTATATGATAACACTTAGTTCACTTTAGTTTTGGAGGCATCCTTATCACAGTGAATCACGTAGGGTGGGCTCTCTGTTTGCTCTTACTTTCTGCCTATTTGTCTATTTCTTCAGTAGTTTTTATTTTTGAAAGAAGCAACTAGACAGATTTTGCCACTTTCTTATGCCAAGGGATGCAGTAGTGCTAGATAATGGGTTTTCATGATGTATATAAAATTGCAGTTTATTTATCATTTAAATTATTTGTACTTCACTTTTTATTTTATCTGCAGTTGGAGTTGCTTTTGTTGTTGTTCTTGTGTGTTATTGGTTTTATTTTATTTTATTTTATTTATTTTTTTAAAGATTTTATTTATTTATTTGACAGAGCACACAAGTAGGGCGAGTGGGAGAGGGAGAAGCAGGCTCCCTGCTGAGCAGGGAGCCTGATACAAGGCTTGATCCCAGGACCCTGGGATCATGACCTGAGTCAAAGGCAGATGCTTAACCGACTGAGCCACCCAGGTGCCCGCGTGTTATTGGTTTTAATTACATACATTTTAAATGTACAGTGTTATTGTTTATAATCACATGTACATCAACACATTTTCATTAATACATTTACATTAATATGTTTTTGAATTATAATATCAAGAATGGAGAAACTGAAGTTTGATTTCTTTGTGTATTTTTCTCTAGCACACCAAGCGAAATGTTTTCATAATTCATGACCATCATCTTAGGGTAGAATAAGTCTTTTTTTTTAATTCACCATCAAAAGTATAGTTATCTACAAGAAAAATATAAACAATGTTATATTAGTTATAACACACGGGCTGCTTTAGCAAAGAGTTACACCACACACACTGTAAAATACAAATATACATAAAGGTTCAGCAACTTAAACAAATGGAAATGTTTAAATAGTCTGTCCAAGAAGGTTATATCAACTTAATATTTCTGGAGACTAAATTTCCTTGTAACTTGTTTTCTGCCATTCCCAAAACAGTTTCCATAACGTGGCTCAAGATGGCTACTCAACTCTTGCCATTATATTCTAACTCCAGCCTGTAGGAAGGAAGAAGATAAGGCACAACCCAGAAATTACATGCATAAAATAGGCCAGAATTTGGTCATATATCCACACATAGCTGAAAGGGAGTATACAGAAATCTGGTCTAGCTGCAAAACAGTATACCCAGCTGAATATTGTACTATCATGGAAAACAGAAAAACTGGATACTGTTGAACAATAAGCAATCTTTGGCACTGATAAGTCATAAAAGTCCAAATGCATATCATTTGTTTAAAACTCAGGGCTATGCTAGTTTGGAGCCGGTGGCAACTCACTGAATTTACCTAGCTTTATTTGCCACATTATTAAGTGAGAATAATATTAATCACCCTATAAAATTTTTGTTGTACTTTTTTTTGATGAAGACTAAATTAGATATGTTTATACAATGTCTATCAGAAGATATGACACTTGGTATGAACACTCCAAAAATTTCATTTTTTTTCCACCTCAAATATCCTCTGTATGTAAGAGGATTAAATTATGTGACTGCACAAAAACTAATTTGCTCTAAAATATCTAAGCATAGTAACTTATTAATAATAATATAAAAGTGAACCGAGATGCCTGAAAATATATTTAATGGGAAATATGAGAAAACATTTTCCTCCATTGTAATGTATTCAGGTTTTTTATACTGTCTACATATTTCTAATATTTGTTTCCTCTAGTTAGCTTCACTAAGTTAAAAGCAATGGTAGCATTTCCCCTCTCTCTGATACCTTTAATGCTTTATACTATACAAATATACAGACATATATATAATTTTTTTACATTGTTGTGGGATTAGTCTTAATTAATTGTGGTTACATTATGTCATAGAGCAAGACCGTCAGTGGTTTTCCAAATCAGAATTTTTAATACATACAATTTAAGCCCCCAAAGATTCAGGAGCTAATATTTGATGAACTGGATGTGTTGTTCATGAATCTCACAATCTTAAAGTTACCTGTTTTGGAAAGCTGCTATATAGTGTTAAAATGTATCTTCTTTTCATCATTACTAACATTACAAAGAACTATCATTAAGCATCTGTCTACAAGAAACACATGCCAAACTGAAATAAAATTAAGCTGCTGACCCACTCTCTGTAGGAATGTGCTCAGAATTGTTTTTCCTGTTATTGTAATGGAATTTGGACTAATCTTTCCCCACGTCCGCTGTGTACCCCTCTTGATCGATAATGCACACTTCCAAGACAGCTGGGAATTGTGATTCAGCCTGTGTCTCTGTAACAAAGCAGAGGAAACTGGTACATCGCGAATTAAGCGCATGACTTTAGCTTAATTATCAACATATTCTAACCAATAATAAGTACTCTAATTTGTAATACATTTGGTGTTTCTAATTTTACACTAGTAGGCTTATTTTGCACCTACTTTGTTTCAAACTTTAATTTTTTATTTAAATATGTATGTTTAGATATTTTCAAATTATTTCATGGAGCTATAACATCAAGATCTGTATTATGTAAATGGATATTTCATGTTTTAGTTCCATGTAAGAAATTCAGTTTACCTCCTCATTCTCATTTCAGGAGAAAATAAATCCATTTATTTTTTAAAAACATGACCTAGTTAAAATTATTAACGTGCTTAATTCAAAAAGTATTTGGGATTTTCTTGTGCATCTTTTTTTTTTTTTTAAAGATTTTATTAATTTATTTGAGAGAGAGAATGAGAGAGATAGAGAGTGCACATGAGAGGGGGTAGGGTCAGAGGGAGAAGCAGACTCCCCGCCAAGCAGGGAGCCTGACACGGGACTCGATCCAGGGACTCCAGGATCATGACCTGAGCCAGAGGCAGTCGCTTAACCAACTGAGCCACCCAGGCGCCCTCTTGTGCATCTTTGATTAATGCTTATTTTAATGCTCGATGCCGAAGTTCTTAAACTCTTTACTGATTTAACTCTTAAGGCAAATAGCCGTGTGACAGGAAGTGGACAGTGAAAAAGTAAGAACTGAAATTTGGAGAAAGTATTAAACCATGATCTCATGATGTTATCACCATCATGGTATTTGGTTACTAGTTTTGTTTGGTCACATTTGTTTTGCTTTATTACAAATGAATGACAGAAAGTGTGTTTGTCTGAAGATCTGGAAACAGCCCTCAGATTTTATTACACTAGAATATATAGAAAACTCTTTGTCCCAACTAAATTTTGTGTAAGTGGGAAGGCAGATGTTAAGCAGTTAGAATTGAAACCATCATTGAGTTATGAGGGTAATGTATAGTTATTTTCAGACATATAAGAACTTAGAAAGTACGCTACCTACATATTATTAAGTATGTACTTAGTAGGAATAAGAAAAAAAGGATAAAGGAAAAGGAAAAATATCTAGCTTATGAGGATCTGTGGTTTATGCAATAACAACACGCTGGCTCTTTCTCTGGGAAACCCCATCTTCACACTGAGTTTGAT